TGCTTCTCAGCTACAATGAAAGGCTCTTCCAGATGCGAGCGTAGTAGACTAGAAAGCGGAGGCGTAGGTTAGTACGATCTATGGACCTGATGAGATTTGCGAGGCGCGATATAGGAGTAAGTCGAAAAACAGAGGAAGAAGGAACGCTTTCCACAATTAAGATAGTGACAGAAGGTAATTAAATGAGACAAGATGGATATATGCGTACTCGGTAGCCAGGCGATCAATGATTTTCCAAGCCTGCATAGATAAGCCAGCATAGTACGAGAGAGACAGAGAGTGATTACATCAACACGGAGACGCGATGTGGTAAGGAAAATCAAACCCAAGAACTGACTGGAGTAGAACATCCAGGGTGATCGACAAGAGTTTTTGAGGGTTATTCCGTGAGTAAGAAAATACCCTCATCTAGGAGGGAAAATGAGTGTGTGAGTAATGACCAGCAGCCTCCGAAGCACCGTTATCAGCTTCAATGGACGAGTGGTGCATGGGGAAAAGCCTTCAGTTGCTAGCCTTGTATTTTGGAATCTCATTACGTACATATTATTCTTTTTTGTATTTATCCAATCCCTGGATCAGTAAGTAAATATGTTTTGTTTGGATGACGAGGTGTGCACTTGTGCGGTACAACCCTAATCACGCCGACGGCAGCCAAAACCTTGCATGTCAGTTTAAGCCGTGGACATCTTGAGGTATTTTCAGGCTATCCCGTATGATTTTGAAATTTTTTTGACAGGAGAGGAGTCATTTTTTGCCATTTGTTGTTTGTGGCTTTGCTGGAAAGTGGTACAACCGAGAAGTTAATCACCATCGGCGCCAAACAGAAAAAACAGGTGTAACGGTACCACATATACCAACATTTTGCTATCGTGGAACTGAAACTCGTCCTTTGTTCAGCATAGATCTGCAGACCTGTCCCCAAAATGGGGAAGCGTACGGACTTGCACGCCTGCCAGGCTCTCAAGAATGCACCAAGAGGCGGTTGAAAGATGGCCCTCCAAAATATCTAGCTTTGGTGTTTACTCAGACCGAAGCACAGAGGTCCATGATGACGTGCTCTATGGGAGGAAAAATTTTAAACCTTGAGTTCAGCGAACAATGTTGGCTCGGTGCCTTTCTTATACGCTAGCAAGCTAGCTTTGTTGATCTTCCTTGTATTAGCGACGTAATTTGAGCCCCACAAATTGGCTAGTCATTATGGAATTCGAACCATACGGCAGTCGTGAGGTAAGTTTGTTGGACTCGATTGCACAACTCATGAAGGCTTCTCTACCAATCCTGGACAAGTATAACACTCATGGGATATGCGGAATAGCTCACAGCACGCATCTTTCACATAAAATTGTCTGAAAGCCCCTAGGTGCTGACTGTGGGGCGCCTGTTATCTAGCGCCATTAGCGACACTGCAGCCGCGAAACATCACTGGAAAACTTGCAGGAAGGTCTCGGCAGCCCTCCGTAAAAAATGCAGTTCACAAACAAATTTTATGTACAGTTTACGGAACTGTGGGTGCCCTCCATCAACTTTGAGGAGAACTAGCACCAACTTTTCTTTCATTAATGTATTGCACTCGCCCCGACTCTTGCAAAATAGGGGAGGTTAACAAGCGTTGCTACCACCCTGATTACTGTAAATAACAAATCTTGAGATAGAAAACGTGCTCTCGCGTCCGTCTAATCAGACAGAAATAACCTGAAAATTTTCATACGGGAGTAATTCTCCCGCAGATTTTGCATCGAAGAGTGTAATGTAGAGCAGCCACCTTCGCAGCTTAGCACAGTCGCGGAACCGGACAATGTATACTGAAAACTTATGTACCACTCAGCCCTGTTCTCAAAATGATGTATTTTTGAAATTAAAAAGTTGCTTGCTTTGATAAATAATCTAAACCACGGACCATCAGGCATAGATGTAGACGCCAGCGGATTGCAAACCCCCAGAGCGACGCGGTTTTCGGGACATCACTTTAAATCATTTGATGTCGTGCAGTTGTGTATTCCCTCTGTGTGGGAGTAAGAATGGGCAACAAGCAAAACCGGGGCGCAGCTGGTGGCGTGTGTACCAGCATCCTCCACGTAATAGGTCGTGAATAAGCAAACCTGACTAAGTTCATCGGATTTTGTTCGACAAGAAAAGAAGTTAAATTCATTATTGAAGTTCACCTCTTAATGCCGGCTAAACTACTGAAATAAAGCAAAACATTGGCCGTCGGATAGCTAGGGCCTTTCAACGTAGCCGTTGGTAGCAAGGTGGTGACTATCAGCGTGCGACTTCTTGAGTGGCTCAAGGTTCGCGATAAATTTCTTCAAACATTCCAACTTCTTTATCCCTAGAAACCCGAGACCACGCTTGTCAGACGGCAATCCATGAGGTTACTCAATTAAAAGACTCTGCCACTACTGAATGGGCATCCTTTGATGCAGTTCAGTAAGGTATCAGGGGTATGCATACATTCAATCGACAGATGTTAGTGATCACAGCGCACCAGGGTGATCTGTGGTTTAAACCAACCTCTGGATCCAGACGGATTGGGGATCCTGGAACTATTTCAACCCATCCTCTTCCACGTTGGACTGGTAGCTGGGAACCAGAAGCGTGGTGCAACTGAATGTCAGTTATTATTACTGATATGCAGCCTGTGGCACAAAAATGGTGAGTTTGGTTCATAAAATAAAATTTGTGCGCGACAAAGTCATTTCTGCGAATCTAGAGTCTACAACTATCATATTATGCGCGACGGTTATCCTAGCAGGTGCGTCCGGGAACACGTTCTTTCTTGAGGCTCTACGCCACGTCCATCAAGGGTTCCATGGGTGAAGGAGGGATAACAGTTCCACGACACTGGAAATATACATGTAAAATATAACTACGCAGTTTACAGTAGAAAAAGAAATGTGCAAAATAATTTCGGTATTACGTTTTTATTAGTTGCCTCATCGGCTGATGCGCTATCCTGCCAATGAACCACATTAGTAAGTTCGATTATTGCGCTCCATACACTCATACACACCCATATTTGTAGGGTGCGCTCAAATAAATTCTCACAAAAGAATGAAGGTAGCTTACAATAATTTCTTCCAGAAAAAGGTTGCATTTCGCTAAAATACAACAAAAGTTCCGCAGATCTGGTAAGCTAGTTTGAAAATCAGTTCTGTGACAAAAGGCTAGAACACCATAGAAATCTCGGTAGGCCTGTTGTTAAAAATATCTCTGGCTGTCCGAAGTTCCCCCAGTTTCCAAAAATGACCATCAGTGTGATTTACCTTTTGAGTCATTTCCATTCTACCAAGGTGGTAGAACGTACTTTTGCGTTGCGATAATGGACCGGAAGAGCTTACGAAATGCTGAAAGTGATGTAGGTATCTGGCTCTCCTCAAAAAAGTCCTTCCGATTGCACCACAAAAAAGTGCTCACAAGACATAAGTCGTTCTACGGATGATTAGACGAATCTTCTATAATACTCGCACGAACATCTGGGTACTTCCATGGCTTCTTGGATATGCCAACCAAGTTGCCTACTTAGGACGCAACAAAGACTTATCCCTAACTGAACATGTCCAAAGGACCGTTACCAAATTCGTTGCCCGCCTTAAATCCTCGGATTATGGAACGTGCCCCGCAGTGCTTGATCTCTTTCGCCCAGGGCATCGTTTCCACCGAGGACACCACACACTTACTGATGTCCTGTTTGAACGAAGTCTTGCCAAAGCTTCTTCACCGTTGATCAAGCCAACACACGGCGGGAACATGGTGAGACGACTTGCAAGCTCGAGTTCACAATTTTATTAGGCAAACACTTTTATCATCTTGTGCTGTTATTCCGCTTATTACCCTTCCTCCGACGGTTGTTTGGCTTACATATAGCATCCAGTACAAAGGAATTTCGTGCGCTTTCTTATTGGAAGCCTCATGTGGGTGACACTGTAGTGGATAACCCTAGCAAACACCAGTTCAAAGTAGTTAAATCAAGTGAGTAAAAATAAGCGAGATTACACAACTCACAGTTCGTTGGTACAGTTAGGTATTACCACCACAATAAATCCAAATCGATCTCCTTCCTGGGATCTCCCTTGATATGCTCCTAGATACTTTCTATCCCGTCGTAGTCTGAAAGGTAGAGCACCGCTCGTTAATTCACTGCCAGCGTAATTCGACACAGCAAGAAGGGACCACGCCTTTCACGAGGTAGAGAATTTGTATTGCGTAATATTTCTTTTTCGTTCATTTAAAACAAAAATTATCCGGTATGAAGAGAAGAGGAGTAAGCTGAGATTTTAGTGAGAGATAGAAAGTGGTACAAATTGTGTAATGATAAGTTACAAAGAAAGTACAAATGTACAATGGTCAGAAGGATCACAATAACGCTACTGCTCCGTGCTGAGAACGTAAAGATCAGTGCTACATCCTTTTTAAACCTGTGCTTTTCAGGTGAACAGGAGCCGCTGGATGACAAGAGCAAACCCGACCCTGGAAGCCTAGGAGAAAGCCTCAACCCCGTGTATCAATCCGTGAATTCGTGATTCTAGTAGCTGGACTCGTGATGTTGTGCATGCCTACTGAATGTAATATGCCTATCACGCACAAGGATACCGACAACAACGGATAAATCTGACTCCCAGGGCCAACCTTCAGCTTCTTTAAACCCGGGGTCCAGTACCATCATTGCACGGAACCGTGTCTACGAACTACTAAAGTCTCATTCGAGAATATGCCGACCGCTTGTTTTATTCTCCTGTTCATGCGCGCGCTCTAAATGACCGGGTGACTGTCCTCCGAATAACTTCCCTATAATCGCAAATTATGGGCCATGGAATCATCTCCACCGTGCCTCCTACTATTTATAGAATCATAGATAATTGCGAGTACATTTTTCTTGTGATTTCTTGGAAATCGCGGCATCTGCTGGGAAGATGCAAGGTGACATTGGCCGGATACCTATCATTAGTTTGAGTGGTTGTATCCCAATAACGAACATATTGTGTGAGCTTCCCATACCTCAGTCTACTCACGTGTCGATTGGGTGCCGCACTTTGCTCTATGAGCCGAAGCTCGTGCATGATGCTTATCGGTGCATTAATGGGGATGACGAAACCCTCGTGAGACTACTCACAGCGTCCTTAAGAGCGGCTAACACTGACAACATGTAAGTATATCATTTCAGATTCTCACGTTCCTAGAATTTTCAGGGAATCATCACCCAATCGCCTAGAACAACCAAAGACTTCCCCAACCCTGTTAAAAACTTTATCCAGCGCGAATGCTTTCACATCTGTCCCGTCCCTTGCTGACCATTTCGACAGTGTTCGTGCCAGTCTTCCACACCAGCCAGAAACCCACTTGCCGTCTCGAAGCGTGGACATCGCGACAACAGACTATGTAGTGCGAAAATCCGGGGGACATCTTTCACTGTCGGAGACGGGCAACAGGGAGTCCTACAGTGCCACCCGTATAGCGCCTTTGCGAATATCGTTGAAAAAGACCCCGTTGCAGTCAGACGGTGCGGCCAAAAAGAGACCAAGGAGGCTGAAGCGGAGTCAAAAAACTCCTCACACTGCAAAGGTCCGTGATTTCCCAGCATTATCGCGCAATGTTGCGAAATAGCTAAATGGCCATTGATTGGGCAACCTTTTTAATCACTTTGAGGACCGTTGCTTTAGACAGTTGTCAGTAAATGTCGCTATTGTCAGTTGTATCAGTGGTCACACCAGTGCTTCACGTTGATTTGTTGAAATGGGTCTTTTGTGCAAAGGCCAAAATAAAGTAGAGAATAGGCCTTGTCCTACTCCAACGCTGTAATGCGGAATTTTGTGATATAAAGTGACTGACACGGCGTACTGCACCAAGCAACCTCCAGGTAAATTTCATTCAGTAGTCAACGATACCTCTTTCACTCTGAAAAACCCTTTTGCGCATCACCCGTATTCCTGAATGACCGAGACGGGCCATACCGATGGTTAGAGACATTGTCAGACGTGGCCCAGTCGCGCCCTCAACGGTACTCATGCATCCAAGCTATTGCCTTCAATGCATACATCCCCGATCCCCTCACTCAGCAGTCCACCTACAGTACTGTTTTTACGCCTCCAATGCGCAGCTACCTCCCCCACCTCTCCGAATCATCGGTGATCTGTGGCAGCTACAACCACTGTATAACAAGTACGCGGTTATTACAGCTGACAGTGATGATGATGATGACGACCAAAGAGAAGCAGCTAAACTGGCTCCCTGCCAGACTGCTCAAGCCTAGGTACGACAATTCAACCGTTCAGCGGACTTGCAGTTTAGGCCTTCAGGTTCTTTCCATCCAGCAGTTTTGGCCAACAAGTTGCACTGCGTCACATTTGGCGACCAAGTAGAAGTGATTCGGCGGTTCTGATTAGAATAAACTGGACATTCGACAAACTTATTCCGTATCAGTCGGTTTGTGGTATCTGCCTTTTTATTCAAAACAATCGTTACGGTCCAAGCCAGGCGGCGGTGCTCATAGTTGCCTGCTTTGAAGACTACCGTGCTATAAAACTCGTGATTACCGCGCATAGAGCTGAACGACCATCGTTTTGATTCGTTCGATCACTTCCCGATGGCTGTGGTGAACCATTGGTTGCGTGTTGCCTGTTAAGGGGTCCATGCTACGAAGACGTCCTAGGATTGTTTGCCGGGTGGCAACCTGATTAATTCCAAAAGAGTGTTACGCTTCTCCTATCTGTTCTGCATCCGACTTGGGGCAGTGTGACAGTTTGCGTACCTGAGTAACCCCTTTGAGCTGTACTGATGAGACGTTTAAAATGTGTCCGAGAATGAGTTAGAACAGAGGCCGGGTTTTCGAGGATAAGCAACGTTTTACTTGTCTAAGAACAAGCGTACATGAGCTGAAATGTACATACAAAGGTTCAGCACGCGTATATATGGTAAGTATAAGAATAAGCACACAAAAATCATGACAACTGAAGGATGCTCGTGCATCATCCGCAGAATCTCTCTTGGCAGGTTGATCTATGGATAGAGGTCTGATGTAATGGTCTTGATTATAATATGCCTTTCGGCCTTGAAGCGTCATCGGGCTGCTGGACCGGATACACTTGTTTTTTATACACTTGTTCATATATATGGGGGAGTATCTTTGTTCCGCTTGATTAGATTGTAGTACGTCTTTGGGATGAAAAACGCCATTGAGAGACTCGATTCGAGAACTTTAACTCTCTTCAGACCATTGATCACTAGCGTCTCCTTGGCATAGCAAGAGGTGGGTGACCATACCATGTGCGTAGCGAGGTGGCATGTTAGTGGGTACGAATCGTTAGAGCCGCAAGTTAAATGCACCATGTTGAGTTGGTTGGGGTATCTACTGTGTATGCCCGACCACCGTCCACCAAAAAAGCGGTACTTTCTGTTCTAACGGATTGTTCGTGGAGAACAGGTCACGACATGGCAACGTGAATTGAAAGCGGTTACATCTGGATGGGGCCCGTGTGATCCTGCTTGCATGAGGTTAGCAACCCTGCAGGATTTGATACGTGCTCGATCTCAGCACCCCGTATACTGTCATTTCGTGGCAGGATTACCTAGCTCAAGTACACCCGTCCTCGGTAAATATTGCAACTAGACTTGTCACCTTCATGTGACCTTGGTGCCTAGCTAGGTATGAGGCAAGTCATCATCAATGACTTTCGCGCTGCGAGTGTCCATCCAGCTCTTCTCGTCAAATGTGAGAGGTGCAAACACTTGAGGTTTGCAACAGTATATGTTAGTGGGTACGAATCGTTAGAGCCGCAAGTTAAATGCACCATGTTGAGTTGGTTGGGGTATCTACTGTGTATGCCCGACCACCGTCCACCAAAAAAGCGGTACTTTCTGTTCTAACGGATTGTTCGTGGAGAACAGGTCACGACATGGCAACGTGAATTGAAAGCGGTTACATCTGGATGGGGCCCGTGTGATCCTGCTTGCATGAGGTTAGCAACCCTGCAGGATTTGATACGTGCTCGATCTCAGCACCCCGTATACTGTCATTTCGTGGCAGGATTACCTAGCTCAAGTACACCCGTCCTCGGTAAATATTGCAACTAGACTTGTCACCTTCATGTGACCTTGGTGCCTAGCTAGGTATGAGGCAAGTCATCATCAATGACTTTCGCGCTGCGAGTGTCCATCCAGCTCTTCTCGTCAAATGTGAGAGGTGCAAACACTTGAGGTTTGCAACAGTATATCTGTGGATCCCTTCCCTCTTATTTTTTTTCAACTTACAACAGTATTTTACCAGAACACATAGGTATAGTTGCGCCGTTGTGGTGGTTTTGCTGCGAGTAATGTTTGTCACGGTTTTTTCAACTACTGTCGAATCCCTGCTTTCCATGGGGTGCCATTAAAAAAACTTTGTTCTGTTCGAGGCTGGACCTTACCGTGGTGTTACGGTTTGCTCACCTTAGCGACCCGTTGAGCTACACTGGAGTGGTGGGGGGGGGTGTTCCCGCGACACTCAGTCTCTCATACCAGACTGGTCAATGGCTAGAGGCCTGACAGACTCCAGGTCCTCCAGGTTGGATGTTGCAACATGTGGCAACTTGTCCCGTAGAAATGGTAATGTATGTGTATTTCCCACGAAGCACCGCTGCCTTGTGGTTAGGCTTTTGAACCAAAGGCTTTGGTCGAAGACCCTATTCGTCCTCCTGTATGTGTGTGTGGTCTCCCTGACATTATTCCCGCTTACAACCAGGATACCTACGCCTAACTATAATTTCGTGCCACATTGGTCATCGCGTGGTGCCATCAGCCGGGTCGCCTTACTCGCTGCATACAACAGTGCGCGAAAGCCAAAACAGGCTACTACTGACGCCTCCCTTCTTGCTCTTTCACGTACTTCTTCCCCCTCTTCACCCCATTAATAACTCTCCACTTGTAAGCCCAGCACTTAGGGCTGATGATTCCGTTCGTGTTGCGTCGGTTTTGTGTGCAACATCTGTTCGTCACCGGGCGCCGACATCCTCAGGTATCTCGAAATCAATCTTCGAGCCTCGACTCCCAGTCTGTCTCGCCACCTTCAATATCTGCACTCTCAAGCGAGCAGTACAACAAGCTGCTCTTGCTCTCACACTTGACTTGCTTGGCATTGATGTGAACTGTATCTTAGGAACAAGAATTTAATGTGCAACCACTGGTTTAGCTAACTGCTTCGTCAGTCTCCACTCGCTCCCGCCTACGCAACTCTGGCGATCTAGATGCTGCTGTGGGGGGATGTGCAGGGGTTGGTATCGTCCTAAGTCACCGGGCGAAGGTATCTTTGCTTGACTGGATGCCTATTGATAGTCGCCTTTGTGCGGTTCATCTGGCAACGGCTGTGAAGGAGTCTCACAAGCGGGAAGTTGGTCGATGTCTGGTTAACGTGTCTACTCATACCACAACTGACTGTAGCTCTGACGCCGCCAAAGATAGGTTTTACGACACCCTGAATGCCCTGTTGCAACGACATAAATGCTTAGATATCGTTGCGGGAGATATGTGTGTACAAGTGGACAGACTTAGCGTACCTGTGACTCAGTTAGGTGGACTCGATACGTACGGATAATCGTGGACGATTGCTTCAGCTGTTTGCTGGTCTCAGGATTTTATGCAGTACGAACTTCCGAAATAGCCGAAATCGTCTGGCCACTTGTTGTCCTCCAACGGCAGGCCGGCCACAAACTCACATCGACCACATTGCCATCAGTTACCGATGGCGCGGATCTATAACGGATTGCCGGTCGTTCTGGAACACAGTAGATTCCGACGACGCACTCACTCGGAGTCGCCTCTCCGCACGATTTCCAGGGCCGCGTAAGGTGCCGTCGAATCGCTTAGCAACTGAAAGTTTGGCAGGTCCCTATGTCAGACGAATTTACCAGAATCGTCTTCTAGAGTCTCTTCCAAATGCTCCACCATCAAATGTGAACTCTTACTGGGAATTTTTTTCTGTGGCAAGGAACCGCTGGGCTCACGCAAGCACTGGATATCAGACCGAACGGTGGCACTGCTTAAATCTCGGAAAAACATCCCAGCCGGTCCCAAACATAACCCGGTGCGAAGAATTATGAGACGTCGAGTTAATTGGTCGTGCGAGCCCACCGTGAAGTATGGTGAACACAGAAAGCCAAAGAAATATGAGAGGCCCAGAAAGCGGGCAGTTGATCCGTGCAATCGATTACCGGAATCCATCAAACATTTGGCTGAATACTTCGAACAACCATTGTCATGGCCATCAGCTGCCAGTCATCTGGAGCCCATGGGTGACGTAGAACTCTGGACGGTGAAAGTGGAACCAGCTACGATTTTGGAGGTTTACGACTGCATATGTTCTCTCAATTCCACCGAGCCTCTGGTCTTGATGAGCCCCCACCCGTATTGTTAAAAAAAGGTGGGGGGGGGGTGAATTTCTCAGTCAGCGCTTGTCCTATCTTTGTGCTTGCATCAGGGAAAAGGAATCTGTCCCTGACAACTGGGGAGAGTCAGTGATAGTGCTCATTTTCAAAAAGGGGGTCATAGCGAGTATGTTAACCATAGGGGATCAGCTTGGCCCCGGTTGTAACCAGACTGTTGGCGTCAACGGTGTTTCGTCGCCTTATGCTGACTCGCGAAACACTGACTCGAGAGCAACAAGCGGGATCCCGATCTGGTAGGGGTTGTATTCGCCAAATCTCCACACTTTCAGGTGTTAGAGCAATTCCATACGTACAAACGACCCACAATTCTAATATTCCTGGATTTCCGAGGCGCATTCGACTCAGTTGGCAGGTCTGTTCTTTTTAGCACGCTTGCCCACCAAGGAATGTACCGGAAGTTCGCGAACATAATAAGCTCTTTGTGTTCTCAGACAATCGAACTTGTGGGAGTATACTGCGAACTCTCCAAATGCTTCCCTGCACTAAGCGTTGTTCGTTAGGAATGCCCGCTCTCTCCATTCCTATAATAAAAAAGTAATCCTTTAGCTGTAGCACCTTTTCGGTGCCTCACTGTCATGCCGTCAGAAGAAAGCACGAGGGCTGGGATACTGTCAGGTTGCCCAAGCCCAGACAAGGGAAGTCGACAGGCAGAGGGTTCGAACTACGGACCTTCCGGTCAGTAATTTCGCGCTCTAACCACCGAACCTACGAACTCACCTCCATTCCTACTTATCTTCGTCATCGGTGAAATCACAAGATGAACGCTGGGAGGTCTCCAAAACCCGGTGCTCAAATTAAAGAGTGTGTCGAGCACGAGAAACTGTGTTGGTTGGGGTATGTGTTGCGTATGCTGAACCATCGTTTGCCGAATCGAGTGCTGTTTCCCATGTTCAACTCAGAGTGACGGAAGCAGAAAGGTGGCCAACCCTTGACCTGGCAGAGTGGTTGGAAGAGATTACGAAACGTCTGGGTGCTGTGGGTGCTACTCACCGTCCGTGATGGGGCCACGTGATCCCGTTTGCGCCTGGTTGGAGACGCTGCAAGATATAGCTGCCAGCCGATGTCAGTGACGTTCTTGTTGTCAGTTTTTATCCAGATTGCCTGGTTAAGTGTCTGGCGGTGTAGGCACCTCGGGAATGATTGTAGTAAGCTAGCACTAAGTCCCTTCCCTGTACACTTTTGTTCTTTAGAATAAGGCTTTCACATAAATTACGGTTTTACGGCATGGAGTAGTGTGCGGTGGCCATTCATTCATTTGGTACACGGGACAGCTCTTTTCTAGATTTTCTGACTGAGCGCTCAAAAGTGCGAGCACTCCGAGTGTTCGGTAAACTTGAATTCGACCATTTCCCTTCCCGTATTAGTATTTTCCTTACAGATCCAGCGGTTGACTATTGATGTTTCATACTTCGTTGTGTGGTACTGTTGATGGATTGTTCTTTTTCGCCGTTTCAAAAATATATTCTCTGGTATATCTAGGTTTGGGGATAGGAGTCGTTTCGAATCCTACACCTTCAACCGCATAATCACTGCTTCAATTCCACTTTGCTGCAGGTGAGTTCAGCATGTATCGTTCCGGTTCCCCCACCGCTCGAAACCAACACGACCGCTTCATCACAACCTGAGACTATTCTGCCACAATGCGTTCCGAAGCTGAATTGTCCTGTTTCTAGCCATTCTGTTCTTTCGCCCGGCGCCAATGGTGACAGTATTGCAAAGGACGTTCATGTATTAGCTACGGATTCACCACAGGTATGCGGAAGTTCCAGTTGTACTACACTTCCGAGCAGCCCGATGCTATCCATCACAACCAGCCCGCTCGCACGCGTCGCTTCTGAATCTACACCAGTTTCTTCACATGCAGTACAAGTGTCCCAAGATTCATTATTTACCAGAGCCTCAGTCCACTCAGAGACCACATCAGTTGCTACAACCTCATTTTCTGCTTTGCCTGTTAGCACAACTGATAGTCTCTCGGTTCGTCGTGTTCCCGATCCTGCCTTATCTCATCTATTCCAATCGGCTGCGCTTTTCCACCCCTATCAACCACACTGTGAACAAGGAAAAGCTAATTCCACCGCAGGCGGTGGTTTGTTTGATGATTGGGTGGATTCCTCAAGCAAAACGGCTGATTTGAACGCTTGTGCGATTCATCTACCGTTGTCCGTCGATGGCACATGTTCAGGCTCAGTTTCTGGACCATCTTCTGTTACTGGGAACGCGTCGCATGCGATTCAAGCTCCACATTCTGTTGGGGGTGCTGCAGATATGCCTATTTACATGTCTCAAAGTCCACAGTCTGTTCCTTCCAACTACTCTTCCTATCCTGCGACCCCAGGAGGCGGTCTACCTAGCATTTCTTCAGTTCAAACAAATCCTGTTTCTTCGGTTGTCGCATCACCATCCCATTTGATCAAGGGTGTAAGTTCAAGACCCACCCTTCCCTCTCCATCCGTCCGATTGTTTGACAACCTAGAGTCGCGAACGGATACCCATGAACCGAATCTGGAGGACCAACCACGAATTGCAGCCCATGGCCTTGCAGCTTATCTTCCTCGGTCCAGTAGTATGCGGCAGCAGGCTGCTACAGAAGACGATATAAGGACTAGGCGGTCGTTAGAAGATCCAAGGTCTGCATCACCCCAGGTGCCTTCACCGAATACAGAGCTTTGTGGTCCCTATTCGGCGGGTGCATCGGATTCCGGATCCAGGCCACAATCCACTTGCAAAGGTGTGCATAGATCAGCATCTAACACCCTTGAAAATGCCGATCACTATTTTAACGGGGTAACGCCACAGAAGTCTGGCAGCCGAGGAAGGGTCTCCGGGGGAAAACCCAGAGGTGGTGGTGAGTGTCTTAATATTTTCTACCGTTCATATACTACGGTTCAGTCGAGTTGGACGAATGAAACGAGACCACCTTGGCACAACCTCATGTTTCAGTATTACGGTATTTTCCGCACGTTAGTCTGGGTGACCAGTGTTCGTGTAATTAAATCTGCTCCGGGTTTCCATTTGCTTGAGGACGACTGGTCCACAAATTCTGTACCTAGTTCTTCCGCGTACCAGCTGTCGAATCTTCGCATGAGTTTTTATGGTTTAGATATATGATACCTAACAAATGCACCTAGTGTGGTGTCGCAACGATTGTTTGTACATTCTGAACCTATCAGTACGGACACTTTACGTATACGCTCACCTTAAGGATTTGAAGAAGTAATCTTGACTAACATCGCCCATCTGGTATTTTGTTTGCACAAAATCTTCAGGGAATGGGAATGCAGAATTTCTGTTGCAAAGGATTCTTATCTGTGGGCCGGATGCTTGAACCAGCAGGTGTTATCTGCACACAGGGGACTGGACTGTTATTCCAGAACGTATGAAGCGGGTAAAACTGTATTGTGTCCTCATTTCTGCGGTCCGGAAGTTCCAACGTCCGAATTCCGGACATGGATGCAGACAACCCGTAGCTGTGACCCAAAATTGACTTGTTTTTTTTTCGGGGTGCATTACGTGAGATTATAACATCCGTGGCATATTCTGCAACTAATGGTAAAAAATCGTCCCGCCGTACCACCTTTTCGGTGCCTAACTGTCATGCCACTTGAAGGAAGCACAACGACTGGAATATTGCCAGGCTGTCCAAGCTTAGACAAGGAAGTCAAGATGCAGTAGTAGCAGTAAGTTCGCGCTTTAATCGCTGAGCCATTTCGCTCTCACGATGTACCGTGTGTGGTAAGTTATACAATTAGTCAGTTGTTAAACGTTCTGTTTGGAATGAAACATTAAGGACTATCTGTTCTTGGGGGTGTTCGGTAGATGGTAAATGCAGCGTCTCACTGCATCATTTGCTGCTGTTGATTTATACGTTTCCTTCCAGAGCCCTTTATCCAGGTTGGCATGAACTCTGCGACCGAGTTCGTTGGGGCCTTGGTATCCCTATATTTTCCTTATATCCTAATATTATACGGCAGTGAAGCATCGGTGTTGAACACTGATGTCATGCTGTCGATGATGTTGATCCTTATATTATTTCCACGCATCATTTATCTAGTCGGAGAGCAATATTTGAGGGAATCACGTATTGTTCCTTCCTTCAACACACCCTCGTACTGATCACCAAACCCCGGTGATCAATGCTCAATGATTGCTGGTTTCTTAATTTTTACCTTAATCAGCCAGATCCTCATGAGAGTACGGAGTACGGTACTTTCTCGCACCCTCGAATTCGAGTAGGTACATTGATCTCCTAGGTAGGTCCAAAAGTTTCTGACTTCCCTTATACAAGCACTAATACCCTTAGTGGCCAATCTACCGAGTTTTTGTCTGTCTTCGCTGCGTTTGCCCGCAGATGTTGATTGGACAGGGAATATTTGAGAAGGATGTCATCCACCACTTGGTTCGCGAACCAGCTGTCTAATATAAATGTTGCTACAAAACTGGATGGAACCGCACCCGAGTCTCCCGGGTGCAAAGGTACCAGTCAGTGTAGTGCACATATTTGCTTACCTGGATCCCCGTTCCAACATTTGCATTACTGCGTGGATAGTGAATTCTGGACAATGTTGGTGTAGACCTCACCAACCTATCCATGTCAAGGTCGTGTCTTCAGTGCTGTGTTACCCTGCGTACAGTCAGAGGGGTCAGAAATCTTGCCACTTATGGCAGAGTTATTTATTATAAAAAACAATATTTAGAGATATTTTCCCCGTATTGCTCAAATCCAGTGTGACAGTTTAGTGACTCCATATATGGTGAACGGTTTGGTGCTTCGTTAGTTGTACTGACTTAGACAAGTAGTTCATATGTGATTATGTCAACTCTCCTGGAAAACTCTCATCACACAACCATATGAAGCGGAGATAGTGGAAGTAGTGGGCGATGCTATGAGTTCAAATAGGTTATGGTCGAATTAAAGGAAAACATCGGTGTTCAGAAGTGTTGCGTTGTTGTTGTTGTTGATGATGATGACGATGATTATGATAATGATGATGATGATGATGATGATGATGATGATGATGATGATGATGATGATGATGATGATGATGATGATGATGGCCGTGCATTCGCAACCATATCCTGAAATTTCAGCTGCGCTGGCGTTTGACGTGTCCAAGTTGTAACCGAAGTGTGTGACGCGCTCATCTAGATATGCCCATATGAACCGTTTCACTGGAACCCTGTGTGGCGGTCACCTAGGAAAGATCACAATTGTGAGGCAATGAGTTTTTAAAACTGGACTAGTAATTGACTTTATGACGATCATACGTAGGGAATGTGCACATTTGCTTAGTCTGGGTACTACGCATATTCACCCTGCCTGAATTTTCGTCGATTCCCTTCATTTTTCACAATGGTGTTTCTGAGACTGTTGCGTCGTTAAATTTTGTGTGTATTGCCCCACAATGTTTTCTGTAGGTAGGCGACGTCGTACAGAACTGGAAGAACTCTGTAATTGGAACATTAATGATCGCAGTCAGCCATCTGTGGACTTCAAAATCGGAAGCTTACCTTCCCTACCAGATGAACGACAGGTGTCTGAGTTGGCTGCAAACAGCCAGTCCTCTCCAAATGCTCTTCCTGGAATATCATCCAGCGCTGACAATTCCGTGGTGCCTAGCTCAGAGAACAGTTCGAACAGACAATCTCCCAACGTTCACGGAATTTTCACTGAGGCGTTAGTTGAGCGTGTTAAGCGACGTCGGCAGCTTGAATCGCAGAAGCGGCAAAACCACCAGTTGGAGCCTGTTATAACCAGGTCTTCTGAGGGCTCACCAGAATCCACCCTGTCACCCATGTGTTCAACTTCTAAATCTGCCCAAGATTCTGAACGATCTCGCACTGGGAAACAAAACACTAGTTTTTGTATTGCCTCTGCTGACCATCGTCGGCGATCAGGCCAACGATCACACGATGATGGTGGCCCAGCCGATATCTATGGAACCAACAACCGTTTCAGAAGATCTAAATCATCTGAAAGCGATTCATCTGTATCACCCGGCACTACTCCGTTGTCTTCTGTGCGATCTTTCAAGCATGACGGTTCCATTTCTTCGTACTCAGGTAGCGTTCCTCCCAACGCATCGTTTCATCCACGGAGTCATGTCCAGGTAGAAACAGGTGATCGACCCCATGACCACTGTGATACAAATAACCACCCTTCCCATGATTCTCCCAGTGCTGCAACTCTAGCTGTGCTCAAATCCCCATCCGTTAACTTTGGTACCGAGTCTAGCGGGAAGCGTCGTCGACGAATCTTAATGAGTGACGAAGAAGAACTCAAACTTTTGCCTTCTGAGATTAATTCCCAAGTGCCCTTACCACCGAAACTGGAAGAAGTTCAGGTAGGTTTATCTGCTTTATCCTGGTACCTGCATTTCGTAATCGCTTGCTACAGTCATAGATAGTCATGATAGGTGTGTACTTATTGCGTTATATATGTTGTGTAATACATCATTTGTTTCGCTGACTTTCGAGCGCTTTATACTCTTTCTACGTGTCTGGAGTGAATCAAACTCAAACGGTACTAACGTGGTATTGTCAAGGTATCCCGCCTATGATAATCGAATATGCAGCTCTATGATTGCCTCTGAATGCAGTTAGACTGATGTTAAGGGTGTTGGTATTAATTGAAACTGGAAAGCTACGCCTACATGACGGGCTCCAGATGGAGTAAAACCGCTTTCGACTAGTTCTAATGAACTTGATAAACAGACGCATCCTTAAGGGAGGCTGATCCCTTGTTTTGTTTTGTACTTTGGTACACAGTTGGGGGAACCGCAGTTGCTCCAATCCATTGCTGTGCTAGCTCGCAGCATGACGGGGTTCGCATTACCGTACTGGTGAACTTCGGCTTCAAGTTACGGCTAATAGTTATTCTGTAAGGGTGTCTCGCCCGCTACGACCGTAGGGATGCAAACAGTAATCACGTGCATTCACCGATTTACATATGAGTCAACTGTCGAGTATGTTTTAGGACCTAGTGACTATTCAAACAGAGGTGATGCATGTATTTATTTGTCATGCTGACTTTCGAGGACATAGCTGTTACTTCGATATGGGCTTAAAACATCGATGTTCAACCCCGTTGCTCCGCTGCCATAGATTGCACTTGCAACCTGGGGACGCCATTGGTTTCGTGTCTCCTGCACAGCTGTTGCTACTGAATATGTAGGTAACTGTAATCTGCGGTGCCCAGTGAGCCTGCTTGTTCCTCCGCAGGAGTTGACCACGATAAAAAAAACTGGTTTGCAATTTCCGGGGCGTTACTGGGAGACAAGTATTGAACGGGATCAAAACAACCGATGTGTCTGCCGGTTCGTCCGATCATTATGGCGATGGATAGGTAGTCCAGTGAGTGGTCAGTGACTAAGTGTAGGGAGGATGTTGTTCACGTACCCTACGAGTCAGTGCCTAGACGTTTAATTAGACACACCGCTGAGTGGCACAACTGTCTTGCTTATCATTTGTGCAGTTTTCACTCTCGATCATCCTGGTCCTGATTGCTAGGTAGGGGATTCCTTCTTCATCATGCGAAAGTGACGCTACTTTCAAAGTTGAGCTTTCAAAGGCTTGGGATATTTGATTTTCGTTTCAGGTTCTTTATATGCAACTCTTGCTCTGTTCTAATACAACCACTGAAGTCATTCATCTTAAGGCCGTACGTTTTCCGTCGGGCATCGGCGTCTAAACACTATAAAATTACAATCCTTCCACTGTGGCAAGACCACCTATGGAGCCTAAGCAGAAATAGTATCTTTCGGATGTATTCTCTCCAGGCTGGGGGGCAGCCGGACCTGTGGTTTTGTGCGTTACACTTCATGTTTTCAACTTTCTATTTAGGTGCACTTTATTAGACTCATAGACATGGATGGGAATCTTCCTGGTAACAGTGGGTTACAGCCATGGGCATCTTTGTCCCCCACTAGAGATACTTTCATGGCTGAAGAGGTTAATTTCAGCTTTTGAGTGTATTTTTATTTGAAGCAGTTCCATAGTAGCCTTTTGAATCACTGCATTTCTCTGACCAAGGCGATTATCCCACTAATTTATGTTGTAGGTGCATCATCTGAAACCTCATCGAACAACTGAAGGCTCAAAGGTGTCAAATTCGTCAGCCAGTCCAACTCCACCGACTTTGCTTCCACTGAACTCGCCTTTGTTAACGAATTCTTGGGCAAAGCGCGATTCCTTGTCATCTCACCAGCGAGGTGATAATCGAAAAAGTCATCACCTCAGAAGCAGATCGACTAACTCCGGTAAGGTGCCACTAATCCGTTTGCTGTAAGCTTGGTTACCGTGTTGTGATGCGCTTCTCCAGTACGACTTCGAAAAGGCCAGGCAAATTCCCTCATATTAGAGAGGTGGTCGTACCAGACGGGTACGACATTGAGAATAGAAAATTACGCCGAAATGCCGTGCACAGCCCCTAAACTATTTTTGTTGCATAAGTGACGTACAGTAGATTGTTCACCCTCTATTCGAATTCAAGTGTTTTCGTGACCTCAAATACTCCTTCGTCTCCAGTTTTCGGAAAAAAAATCATTCTCTCCTTAGACTTTATAATTCTCTTCCCTCCTGAACCCAGCATTAGATTTGCTGCCAAGTGTACGTAACACACAGATTGTCAATGCTTTGACTTGACGTTGAGATGTCTAATATGGCTGGATCATGGGGTTCTCGGGTATAGTTCATCAGTAATACCGACTAATGTAATAGCACTGCTCCATTGATTGCTCTGGGTTGTGGCAGATCTAACTGCCACTGGTTTAGGTGGCGTCACCTTTTAGTTATGGATGTGAGTTCAGGTTTACCTGGAGATTCGTCAGGTGCGTACCGTTGATGGTTCTCGATAAAAATGAAACAGCTGTATAGTGCCTATCGGCCTTTCGACGTAGACTGGTCTCACTTACCGTCCGGAGGCCAGTCACTCTTACCAAGTGAACAGCACGTCGGTTGGAAGGATGTGTCAAATGCTGGGTACGGACCTAACGAATGCATGTTTTGGTTGGTCAGAATGTCAGCCACTCGAGATCGAACATTTGTAGCTCGGCGCCTCTCAATCCCTTGCGAAGTGCAGCCCTGTTGAACATCCGATGGTAACCCTATAAATACAGCTGGAATAATCTCCCTTTGTCTTCATAAAGGGCTGTCTGAGTTTCCGTGTCTTTTGATATCCATAGTGGGCGGGGCAGGAGGCCAAGTACCGACCTAGAAGTTACACTATCGTCAGCAAGACAACAACAGCGGTTAAATGATGGAATATATATATATATATATATATATATATATATATATATATAT